CGCGCCTTCCCCGCCTCCTGCTCGCTCGGGACAGAGAGGAACCCCCCCCCGCCCTCCTCGCCTCCAGAGCGCCCGCGCGCGCCTCGCTTTCCCCTCCCCGCGCCTTCCCCGCCTCCTGCTCGCTCGGAGCAGAGAGGACCCCTCTCCCGCCCCCTCCCCGGGCCAGGGCTTGGGGGTCGTGGGGACGCGCCCTTGCCTGCAACGCCTCCTTTCTCCCCCTCCCTCCTGGGTGGGACACGGAGGCGCGTACACACGTGCACTTCTTGGGTAGGGGCAAGGGGTTTCGCTTTGGGGAATGTCTGGAGTAGAGGAGGGGTGATCTTACTGCAAAAGCCCTCCGTAAGTATTGGAGGGCAGAGGGGTCAATCGAATATGACTTGGAAAATTATATTGGAAATCTACTATAAATTGGGAGGGGAGGGGGATTTCTGTCGAAGGAGCGCTAAGAGCCCCATTAGCAAAGTAAGGCAAAAACGTTAGATTTTTGATTACTTAGATATTAACTTCTCCAACTGGCCAGGATGCTAAACTGGTAGCATGTTAATGCTGAGAATGAGTTCCTAAATTTAAAAATGAGTGAAATGGTAAAGAGATATTAGAGTGATGCAGTATCAAAGTAGATTATTGCAAACAGACTTGATCAGTTCAGTTCTATTAACTTGGCAGCTAAGGATGTGTACATTGTAAAGCCTTCCCCAATCTGGTGCCCTCCAGATGTTTTGGACTTCACCTTCCATAAATCTGGCTAGGTGTCAGGGGAAGTTGAGAAAAACTGGGCTATGTAAATATGATAAAGTTCCTTTTTACAAGTCCTACTGATGCATAGACTCCATTCAAACAATTCACACTTTAATCAAGGTAGAGTTAGGGGCTATCCTTGTTCAGTGAGGTTAATTATGGTTAGGGCTAATCTTGTAGCCTTTTTCATGGCTTAGCGCGTCTGCATTATACAATCCCAGAAAAATGGACCAATGCAGAAACACAGACGTATTGCATCTCTGCAAGATTTACCAGTAAGGCAAAGACAACTTGAAAACTTTTTAGAAGGATTTTGGATTCACATTCATTGATCAGCTGTCTAGGTGCTATCCAGACCCTCGGACTAACGGAACTGCACGACAGGATCGCCCAGGACTTCACAAACATCCGGTCCAGAAAGTTTGCCATATGAAAAGGAAAAGTAAGGGGGAAGATTAGGAATAGAGAAAGAGGTGTGTTATGCTAAAACGGATTTGATGGGGAAAAAGAGAGCAAAACATTCCAGGTCAGATTCTTTAGTGGAGGAACGGCCACCCCAGTACTGGTGAAGAAAAATAGTTACGAATCAGGCCTGACCCATTTTGAACGTATGCCTTTTTCAAGGGCAAACTCTGCTGAAAAAGATGGCATCTGGGCTGGGCGGGGGGTCAGGGCCTCCCTTTTTCTCCTCCCTGGTTTTTCTTCCTTTTCAGCTGCTTTTGCGGCCTGACCCCGATTTCCCTGTGCCACCCACAAGGGCATGGGGCGGGAGCATTTCATACACTGATAAAAACAATTAGTTGCCCCTGACATTTATGGACGATCGGGTCAAAGCGGAGTGTGGAGGGGCGCATTCCACTCCCCGTCGCAAAGAAGTGCTTCACACAACTGAACTTGGCAGACTCGCACGCTGGTGCTGGGAAAGTTTGGGAGATTGATAAATGTCAAAGAACGAGCGGGCGGCCCACACAACAACCTCAGCGAATTATCGTTCCTGACCCCAGTCGGGGGGATGAGGCGGCCCGCTGTCGAACCCGGGTTTTTGCTCCTCCCCAGAAGGCAACAGGAATGCCACACGAACAGGAGGAAATGTAACTTACCGTGATAGGCTGATTTGCACAACAAGCTAAGCTAGGTTAATGGGGTTGGGTAGCTTCTGGGGCTCACGCTTCCAACTGGAGCACGGTTTGGAATGGATCTGTTTGCCGTTTGTACGCGTTGCATTTCGTCACTTCCCTCCCTGCATGTTGTGGCGTCTGCGACTCGGCTGCCTTTTTGATTCGGCGAGCGCTTGAAAAAAAAGCTGCAGAGGAGGAGGAGGAGGAACCAACAGGTCATTTAGATCAGTGGTTCTCAATCTCAGCAACCTTAAGATGTGTGGACTCCAACTCCCAGAATTCCCCAGCCACCATGGCAACCTTAGGATGCATGGACTTCAACTCCCAGAATTCCCCAGCCAGCATGCTGGCTGGGGA